CACTCCTTTAATTATAACTTTTATTACTATTATTAAAGCATTTTAAATGCCACAATAACCACATTTAATGAATGTAGCGTCTGGACTGAGGGGAAGCAGCGGTTACCTCCAGCAGCTGAGGGTTGGTGTACTGCAGCGCCGCCATCTCCTGCTCCAGCTCCGCCTGCGTCTTCTTCTTCCCGTCCACCTTCTGCTCCAGGGCTCGCTCTTTGGACATCTCTGAGGACGGAGGCATCATGGGAACCTTGTTCTCCGCCCAGGCCTGCAGGGAAACACCCAGCGTCAGCGGCCGTGGTCACATGGCGGCGGCGTGGTTGGGGGGTAGAGCGTACCTGCTGGAACTGAGCCGGGATGGGTTTGGCGTAGGGGACCTTCTTCTGGGGAACCTTCTTGGAGTCCTTGCCCATCACCTCGTCCACGCCCCAGTCCAGTCCAGGGATGGACATCTCCACGTCCAGGGCCGCCTCCTTGCCTGCAGACGGAGGAAGACCTGAGGCTGCGGTTCTGGTGGCCGGGCCGAGCCATTTCTCCACTACTTACTGCTCTGCTCCTCCTCCATGGCCGCCTTCAGCTGCTCGGGGATTCCCATCCCAGGGATGGTGGCCAGGCTGTTGGGCTCCACGTCGTCTGCACACAGACACAGCGTTCACACGCAGGTTCTGAAGCTCAGACCGTCTGCTGCGTCTGGCCGCCTGCGGCTTACCGTACTCCACGCCGTCCTCTGACATGCCGGGCAGCAGGTTCAGGTTGTAGCGGTCCCTCATTTTGTCGCCGGGTCGATTCCTGGTCCAAAACTTACTGCAGAACAGAACCGACAGAGTTAGCGGGGTGATCCGGTTCTGGACTAAAACGGATCCGGTACCGGCGTGCCTACCTGGTGTGGTCGTTAGAACCAGAGCAGAGGATGTGACCCAGCGGGTGCCAGGCCAGACTCCAGATCATCCCTTCATGAGCCACCTCCATGCCGCCCACCTCCTTCTCCACGCTGCGACACACAGAGACAGGCTGATGACTGCCGGGTCAGAACCCAGAGAGGTTCTGCTGCTCCAGCCTTCTTACCCCACATGCCAGAAGAGCAGCGAGCCGTCTGAGCCTCCGCTGGCGAACAGGCCTTCATGGACAGGATGCCAGGCGACGGCTGATGGAAGGACAGAGATCAGAGGGTTAGATCTGGACCTGCAGGGGGCGGAGCCTCAGATGCTGCTCATTGGCTGATTCACACAGGAAACGCTTCCTCCTGATGCTAACTTCTAAACGCCGTCTGCGCTAGCTGCTGTCCTGACCCCTGACCTCTCCACCTGTAGCCCCCTTATTGTGGCCCCTGACCCACCTGTAGCCCCCTTATTGTGGCCCCAGACCCACCTGTAGCCCCCTTATTGTGGCCCCAGACCCACCTGTAGCCTCCTT